CCAAGGAAATTGGCAACCGCCACAAGTCCCTCTGCTTTCTTACTTTCCCCCAGAGCTGGTTGTTAAAGACTTACCAGCACACCACTGGCGTCACGAGGTAGGTTCCATGCCCATCTTGGTCACTTACAAGCTGAATGACTTCCTTGAGCCTCAGATTCCTCATCTCTAATGAGGTCCTTCTTCTGTTAGAGTGCTTCTGGGATTGTGGATGAATAAGTGCCATCACATTTGCTACTCAAGGGTGGTCCATGAAGCAGTAGTATCAGCATCCCTTGGTAGCTTGCTTGAAATGCACAATCTTGGGCCGCACCCCAGACCTCCTGAATCAGAATCTGCATTTCAACAAGATGCCCAGGAGATTTGTATACACAATGAAGTTTGAGAAGCCTACTCTGTGTGATGATGCCATTGCCTGCACTCAGGGATGGATCTCTAGGGTATCTGGCTTCTAGCTGGGTGAACAGTGAGAAGAGATTATATATGTAGTGAATGTCCAGAAAGGGATACTTTGTGCTCAGTGAGCATTCTCTGGAGCCCCTGAATCTCTCTGTCTTCCTGGATTTCTGCCCTATGATGCAGCTTATCCCTTCTCTAGTTCCAGTACAAGAGATTCTTCTGGACTGATGGGAGCACCTGGGATTATAGTTACTGGGCCCCAGGGGAGCCTGGATATGGGAGAGGCGACTGTGTTGCTGTAAGCAGCAGAGGTGAGGGGGACTGGGAAATGGGAAGGGGGGCAATGTGGACTTTTACATACTATCCGTTTGAGCTGTCTCAACACACTTCCCGAAACTCACACCCTCCCCACAATTGGAGAGCCAACGTCCTCTCTGTGAGAAGGGCTGAGATTTAGGGAAGGATTCCTCAAAGCAAAACCAGGTGATGGGGTGCCCAGTGTGGGGGCTAGATGTGGGCTTTCCATCTTATGGCCTGGGGGGTGGTCCTTTCCCTCTTCTGATATGAGGGCGACAGATGAGAGTAGCAGATGTGAATTTAAGGGTGGATGAGGGACTAAGGAAAGATGTGGGAATTAGGGAAGGCTGACAGACTGTTCTCCAGCTTCCAACAGCATGGATGACAGATGTGAGGGAGCTTAGTACAATGGCTTAGACCGTAGGCGCTGGAGTAAGACTGCTCCGGTTCACATCCCGGCTCTGCCACTGGCCAGTAGAGACACAGGCAAGTTATTACCCCCACTAAGCCTCAGTGTCCTCATCTGGGAAATGGGGATGAGCTAGCACCCATCTCTTGGAGTCATTGTGAAGATGAAAGCACTTAATCACCCTGCCTCCTTCGCTGTGGGAGCTCAAGAAACGTTAACTGGTAGGGATGTGTAGGCAACATATGGCTGACTGATCACAGCCACAGCAGGCAAGGGAGGGTATGAGGTGCCTGAGGAGGGAAGGAGCGGGGCACAAGCCACACTCAGATGGGCAGCTGACCTCACTGTGCTCTCTCTACTGCCAGGGGGTCACTGGCGAAGAGCTCCTTGCAGCAGGTGTCTGCCCTTCATCTGCTCCTTCTAAGCCATTGGCACGGAGACCCTGCCTTGAAGCCTCCTGCCTTCACAGCTTCCCGTCTGTCCCCTGGACACTGGGCTGGTCCCCTTTTCCCTCCTGGATATAAAATCAGACTTCCCACAGCATCTCCTGACTCATTTCTTCACTGCTCACTTCAGAGGAATCCCCGGGGTTGGAAACGCCCGGAAACGCTCACTCTTGCAGGGTGGGGCTTTGAGGAAAGTAAAAGGTGGTGGAGGTGGGGTGGGTAGTGGAGGTGGTGTGGGTGGGGGTGCTGAGGTGTTCGGCTGCAGCGCCACCTGGGGGCGGAGCATGAACTCTGGAGGACCCTGGCTTCGGGTTTCCCACCCCTCCCCCCCAGGCTCTGGGGAAAGATCCCATTCGGTGGGGGCTGGGAAACTGGCCCTCCTGCTTTGTTTGGATTCAGTATGGGGTGTGGGGTGGGGTGGGAGTGGGGTGGCTTTCCAAAACAGAGGCGATCTTGCTGATTCAAGGATTGGGGTGGAGCAGTGCGATGCCATCTGGATAAGCACGTGAGAGGGAGGAGTTAGTAGTCTTGTCTGGGGGCAGCCTGTTCCTCTAGTCCTCTGTCTTGTTGGCCTCAGATAGTCGCCTCTATTTTGCATTCTTCCAGCCACTGAGGGTGAATTGAAAGGCCCCACCTTCTTCTGAGATCTGTTCCCCACTCCATTCCCAGGAGTGTGGCCGTCCTTCCCACTCCCTCTCCCACATCCGCAGCCTACCTCCCTAAAGGGGCCACATTCTCAGGAGGGAGGTGCCTCCCAGCAGGAGGGCCTAGGGGCCAGTCAGGGTATCTGGTAGCCTCTGGCTCCTATGCTGTGTCTACAGCCCCAGGCCTCAGCTTCTCTCCCTAATCCCATGTTCTCTGACCCAGGGGACATTGAGAGACAGCATTGTTGCTGCTCTTTACCTTGTTCGAGGCAGGATGCTGGCTCCCGGTAGGATCTGGCATTGATGAAGCAGAAGTTCAGATCTGAGACTGGGTATTAAGAGGGCAGACAGCCTTGGGTTGTGGGGAGAGAATGAGGGGGGCACTCTGAGACAGAAATACTTCTTTGGGTGTCGTTCTACATGGGGCACAGGGAGAAGGTACAAATATTTCTGAAGATGCACGTGCACATGTGTGTATATGTATTTTGGTGTGTAAGCGAGTCACTCTTTGCATACCTGTGTGTATCTGTGTATGTGTGAATCTGTACATGTAAATGTGCGTAAATCTTTGAGTCAGTGTGTATTTGTGTATTGTTTGAGGGTGTACATTTTGTACATCTCTGTGTGTTTATGGATAGGCCTGTTTGTCTGCGGACACCTATGAAGCTCTGCACCGTAAGATGCCTGAATCTGTGTGTGCATGCATGTGTGTACTTGTGTGTCTTTGGCCAGTATGTTTTGGGGTGTGTATATATGTTTGTGTCTGAGCACACCTGTGTACAGGTCTACGTTTCTGTGTGAACATGTGTGTGCATGTCCAGGCATCTGATGGGATGTGGAGTTTCATGAAAAAAAGAACAGTCTCCCAGATGTGCTTTCTTTCTAAAGGTTCTGGAGGTGGTGGAACAGGACAGGGCAGAGAACCCCAGGGGAAGCGGGTGGCGAAGAAGCAGCAGGGCTGAGTTCCCTGAATATGAGCGGGCCTCTGACAATGGGACCACGGGTCTTGGGCTTGCCATGAATCTCACCAATGCTGGACCTCAGGGACTGCTTCTGGTGAAGAGGTCTGTCCTCCACAGAGGGGCCTGTCCCTCAGCCTTGGTTGCAGATTGGGTCAGGAAGCTGCTAATCACAGCATGTCAGTCTCCCCAAGGGCTTGGAACGGGGGCTGCTTGGGGGTCAGGCCCCCCCCAGGTCCCTGCATTGCATACTGCAACAAGCGAATTCTTTTTCGTGTATGTGTGAAGAAGATTCACCCTGAACTCACATCTATGCTAATCTTCCTCCCCTTTGTATGTGGGATGCCTCCACAGCATGGCCCATAAGTGGAGTAGGTCCACACCTGGGATCCTAACATGCAAGCCACAGGCCACTGAAGCAGAGTGTGTGGAACTTTAACCACTGAGCCACAGGGATGACCCTGAAACAGGCTAATTCTTGATGGTCTGCCTCTGAAAGAACAGTGGAATCTGGCCTTCAGGGGTGGGAGGGATAGGCAGTAAAGGAAGCTCTGCATAGGGAGCTCTGGGACTGGTATTTCGGCTGAAAGCAAGCCCCTACTTAACTCTTTGATGGTGAATCAGTTCTAGCCAATCCTGGTAGCCCAATATCCTGCCAGCCAAGACTGGAGGTAGGGGTGGGCAGGGAGAGGAGGGGGCTTAGACCTCTCCAGATTGAAGCTTGCTTGATGCAGGCAAGGGTAGATAAGGTGTCCCTGAAATATCCAGCACTGTCTGTTATTGGGTCGACTTCAACCATTATATATTCATTCCTTTGGTTGTTTAAGGCCTTGCAGTCTTGAATAGCCTTTGATTAAAAAGCAAATACTCTTAGGAGAAGAAACTCCAAGGGCCTTATCTCTTAATACCTCTGGGAAGTTGATGGTTACTTGCCGAGAACGAGGTTTTGTGAGAAGGAACACAGAAGGCAAGGATGTGTGTCACTATCAGTGGGCATGGGGGGAGGGTGGTTGTGGAGAAGAGAAGCCATTGAAAAGGAGATAAGGAAGCAGAGAGTGCAATGTTCACCATTTTTTCTTGCTGGGGAAAGAGGTAGACTGTGTTTCCTGGTATTCCTTGCATAAGTTGGGCTCTGCAGCATGCTACTGGGTGTGGCCAATGCAATGTGGGAGGAAATGATGTAAGTCTCTTCCAGGCCTGGCCTTTAAATGACCCCCTATGATCTTCCCATTCTCACTGTCCTTGCCACAGGGATCTGGGGGTCCCTGTGTCCCTGAAGGCGCAGCTACCCGATGGAAGGGGCTGTCTGACCTGCTGTGTGTAGTAAACCTTGAGATTTCGCAGCCCACTTGTTACTGCAGCAGAACCTGGTTTAACCCAACACATATAGAAAAGAAGGAGCCAAGGAATGTCCTAATTTTTCCTGGACAGACATAGCACAGAAGTCAGGATCCCAGCCACCAGAGTCACAAAGCTCTGGGTCTGAGTCCCTGTTCTACATTTCAAATTTTTTAGCCTTACTAAGCCTCAGTTTCTTCTTCAATAAAATAAAGTTGAGTTAGACAACATCTGTAATGCATTTAGCCCACGGCCTGGCAATGGCAGGTTGTCACTAAATGTTGGCTTTTGTGCAGAGTCATTAAGGAAGCAGTGTAGTGGTAGGAATGAGCATGGGTTCCAGTTTGAATTTCCATGTATTGCACATTTCTTCTTCTATGAAATAGGATTAATAACAAACCAGAGCAATCTCACCAGGGTTGGTGTGCGGGTCCATGTGATTATGTTGGTGACTGTGTTGAGGACACCAGGATGCAGGAGAGACAAGTTAGCTATTTTATTAGTACTGATGTCAACCCGAAGTCTAGCACACAGAAGTGCTAACTTAGTTCAGCTGTGGGAGGACAGTGTCAGGCTCACACACACGGGTTCAGGCCAGTGTGGGGAAGGGGAGGGCTGGGGGAGAGGGCCCCTCCAGGACACCGCTGCCTCTGTCTCCTCCTCAGAGAACGTCCTCAGCCCCAGCCCAGGCTCCTGAGAGCTGGATTCACTGGGAATGCCTGTGGGTCTCCTGGTTGGAGAATGCAGTGCTGTCTTCACTGATGTGTCTGCTCATCAGATCTCCAGACACGGCCTTATTCTGGAGGCTGCTCCTGGGGTGGAGCTGAGGGGTGAAGACTCAGTTGAGGAAGGGGGATGGGCCTTATGCGTGGGAATCTTACCCCTTCTCCCCCTGCAGTGGGGGATCATTGAGGTTGGGCCTTTGCAAGTGCTCACTGCTTGATCGTCCCAAACTACTCCCAAAGCTGCCCACACCCCCTTTCTCTGCACCTTCCTTAGAGGGGCCAGCCCTCATCTACAGTTAAGTTCCTTTCTGCCAAGTCCTCATGGTCATGGCCACACTCCAACTTTCCTGGAGGCAGATTTACCGTGAAGCTCATGAAGCATACTTCAGTGCTGCTCACTTGCATGAGCTCCTTCTTATACCTAATTTTTATTATTTTTTAAAAAATGCCCCAATTGTATGTGCATCAGTCTTCATAAAATCTGGACCTGCTCCTGCACTCGGCCCTGGTGTGATTTCTGGGCCCCTCATGGGGTGAGAGCCCAGAAGGGGAAGGGGAGGTCTGGGCACATGGAGGCAGGGGTGGACCAGGTGCTCTCTCCACAGCCTTCCCAGCTTCCTGTTCTTGCCTCCTCCCCAGAGTGGCAGGACACCTGGTTCCCTTTGGGCCACTCACTATGACATAAGTCATTTCCCCCTTTGGCTTCCATTGCTCATCTGTGAACAGGAGAGTGGGCAAGATGTTTTCTAAGGCCCTTTAGTTTCTAACATTAGGAGACTGACCACTTCGTTAGGACCCTGCGGGGACCCGCCCGCTGATCACCTGCCCACAGGGCACTGGGGCTCACTGGAGCCTTTTCACCAATGTTTTTAAGGAGGATTGCTGCCCTCTTAGAACAGGGCCCCAGGTCTAACAATCACATCACCCTGGGTGTGGCCTACTCTGGCTTCTGGAGTGAGGGGACCCACATGGCTATAAGTATGTGGGAGCCCCAGAGAGAGAACAAGAATGGCCCCTTCCCTGGGTTGGGGACAGAGCCGTGGGGGAGGTAAGGACAAATTCACTGACAGTCATGCCTCCTATTTCCTTGTGAATTTGGGACCCACCCAAGTTGGAGAAGGAGACCTCGCACCACTGTCTCACTGGTCTCTCCTAAAATGGGGCCTGCCTGAGCTCCCGGGAAAGCCTGGGGCTTACTCTTGATTCAGCTGAACCTAATCGTGGTAGAGTGGAGCCGGTGGAAGCAGCAGGGCAGATGCCCCCTGACGTTCATTCTTCTCTTGTGCGGTGTGGGCAATGGAGTTAGACCTGGGTTCAAATCCCAGCTCTCCCGCCTCCTGGCTGTGTGGCCTTGGGCACATGACTGTCTCTCTGAGCCTCAGGGTATCTTCAAAACAGGGGAACTAATATCTACCTCATAGGATTATTCTAAGGATTAAACAAGATAATGCATGTGAGAGTGCCTGGTACTTGGTAGGCCCTGTGGCCACTCATTATTACTATTCTTATGTCTACTCTTTGGAAGGGGGATGACTCAGGTGCCACTGCCCTGGGGGTCTTGGGAAGCAGATTGGGGTGAGGCAAGGGGTGAAGGGAAGATAGAGGTCTTAGCAGGGAGTACTACCTGTATGTCGGAGCCCTGTGGGAACAGCTGGTCCCCGGCTGTGGCCTCATGAGATGAGCAGCAGAAATGAGAGCCCCTCCCCTCTCCCATCCTCCCTTGCCCAGGTGGGATGCCCTATGGGGAGGCCCGGATTCCAGGGGTGAGCATGGGGCCCTGGGAAGAGGCCCTAGTGGCCTATGGAGTAGGCCCCTGAATCTGTGGACTGCTTCTCCTCCGTGGTCTGGTCGCTGGAGAACACTTGGTTGGTCGAGGCAGCAGCTTTCAGCGTCATCTCATTCACCTGCAGGCAGAAGGGCTGGCTTTTTCATGCTCTGACTATGGGCGAGGTCCTCCTAGGGGGCTCCATTCAACAGACTCAGCAGTCAGGGCTCGCGGCCTGTTCACTAGGGGGCTAGAGCAAGTCTGTGTGATCCTGAGCTCCTTTCCATGCACCTCAAGGACAAACAGAAACCTGAGATAACTCATCACAGGATTTGTCCCGCCCTAGAGACAGGCAGGGGATGATGATGGATGGGGATGCTGACAGCGATGACCTGCACAGCCCCAAGATTCTCCACAGAGAGGTCTCCAAACCCCCTCTTTTCTGGACTCCCCAATATACATTGAGGCCCAACGAACTTCCCTTGGGAAGTCCCCAGAAGGTGAGCCACTGAGAGTCCCTGGGTCTTAGTGGCCCTCCCTGCCCTGCCCCTCTACCTCCTCACCTCCTCAAACTTCTTGGCTTTGTACTGGTCGGCCCCCTTGAGGAAGTTGAGCAGGATGATGTCACAGAGGACAGTCCCCTGGAGGAAGAGAGGCAGGTGGGCTCAGAGGGGCTGCCCTGGGACAGGTGGGAGCAGGAGGGCAGGAAGCAGCAGGCTCAGGTGGACCCTGAGCTGCCCGGGCAGTGGGCAGGAGTGCCCTAGGGCAGAGAGCAGGCCAAGGGTCAGGGTGAGTCCCCCAGGAGGCCTCACCAATGTTTCCTTTTGGAAAAATGTCCAGGGGCTTTGCAGAATGTCTTCATGACCTGCCTCCCCAGCTCCTGGGGGTGACCCCAGAGCAAAATGCAGAGAGAGGACTTGGAGGGAGAAGCAGAAGGACTGAGGGGGCGGAAGTCCCTGAGAGTGGGCTTGCCAGCCAGGATCGGCTCCTCCTGAAGGCTCCTCAGGTCTGTGGAACCCTGGTCTCCTCGCCCACCTTCATGGTGAGGGACAGGAACTTTGCATTGGGTGGTGCCTCCTGCTAGTGGGGAGGCTGCTGAGGGAGGTGATGAGTTCTCCATGACTGGAGGCCTTCATGTAAGGGCCAAGCCAGCAGGGAGGGGGTAGAGGAGAGGAAGCATCTGGCAAGAGGTTGGGCTTTACATTCTCGGCAGAAGCATTCTGGGTCCCCCCGACCCCCCATGCCAGACGGGGCCCCACCCTGACCGGCCTCCTGTCAGAGCCTGGAGTGGCAAACTCACCACTCCCACGGAGGTGAAGGCTGCCACGGAGCTGATGATGGTGGGGATGATGTTGAACTTGCCAGCCTGCAGGCACAAAGACCAAGGGGAGTGGGCAGAGGGTCCAGCAGGGCAGAAGTGAGGCTGAGGCTGAACTTGGACTCCCAGCCAGAGAGGAAGTGGAGCTAGAAGGGTTCTTGGGGGGTCAGCAGGCCCCATCCCTTCATGGTACAGGTGAGGACACTGGAGATGTGACCAACCCAGGGTCTCAGAGCCGGTCAGCAGCAGGACCCTGCCCCTGAGAGGAGCCTCTTCAGGGCCCCAGATGGATCTGGGTTTCCTCCCCTGACCAGCCCATCTGCCCAGCCTAAGGACTCACATTCCCATACACCAGCACATCGAAGCGGATGCCAAAAGCCTTCAGGAGTGTGCGGTACTCGCTGCCGTCCTCCATCTTGTAGTACTTGGCAAACCTGGAAGCCAGAGGCGAAGGTGGGTCCCACTGTGGGCTCCTTCTTGAGACTTCAAGGTCCTCTAGAGCCTATGAGCCTCACTTACTGAGCAACCCTTACCGATGGCATGGTGGGACGCCTGCCATGGTCCTCCCTGTGTGGTTAGCTGACAGGCATCATCTTGGGGGCTTGTTAAAAAGGAAGATTCCCAGCCTCCACCTCAAACCCATGGAATCAGCATCTCTGTGGCAGGGCAGGGGAGGGGGCCAGGACTCTGCCTTTTAAATAATCTCCCTAAATGATTCTGATTTGTACGAATGTTTGAGCCATGCTGGACTCCAAGCTTCTTCAGTTCCCTTTGTCTGCGTATCCCATGTCCTGGCTCCCTGCAGATGCTCCCCTCTCCAGAGGCTTCTCAGCCTGCTTGGGTTCAACACCTGGCTCCGCCACTTACCAGCAATGCAACCTTGGGCCAGTTACTTAACCTCTCTGAGACTCAATTTCCTCATTTGTGATTGGAATACAAAAGTCCTGCTTCATAGGGTTGCCGTGAGAACTGAATGAAACCACACACATGGGGGGTTTAGAACAGTGCCTGGAACACCGTAAGCACCCAGGAAATGTTCGCTGATGTTGGCTGTTGTTATTGCTGAAGAAATACATTTGCATTTATAGAGAGGTTTAAAAAAGTCCTTTCAGACACCTCATCTCATTTCACCTTCACACAAACTTGTGGGATGGGGATGTGATTGCTCTATGTTTTAAATGAGGCTCCAGGGGTTACATGACTTGTCCAGGGCCATCCGAGTCTCCGAGACTCAACGCTAGGTTTGCTGACATTCAAGATTTTGTCGTCAACACCTTCTCTGCCTGGGATGCGGGGTGCCAGGAACTGTACTGGGGACGGATAAGAATGATCACATTTAATTCTCACCAAACACAGTGAGGCAGGTGTTCACACTCCCATCTGGAAGATGCCTGTGGTGGTGAGGGGACTTACCTTGTAGTTTCACAGGTAGGAAGCATTTGACCTGCATTCATCTTTTGGCTTCTAAAGCCAGTGCATTTTCCTCCATGTGGCTCTGCCCATCTCAGGCAAAACTCTATCATTAGCCAAGTGTAATCTCTTTGGGCTACTGTCCCACAGCTGTGAATACTGTAAATACTGGTGCCAGTATCCCAGGAAAATGGTGAGGATTAAGTGAGAGGATGGGGGTGAAGTGCTCAGAAGCTCTGTAACTGGGGGGGGGGCGGGATCAACAACCATCTTATTCCGGGCTGCTGCCTCCCTTTCAGTGTTTCCAGCCCCCACGGATTCCTGAGCCCTGTCCCAGACCTCTCCCAGCAGAAAGGTCTGAGAAACTCCTTCCCTGGAATTGTTGAGTGATCGATATGATGCTCCCCCCAGCCCCAAGCAGGGATCTTTGGATTTGAAACTGTCCAGCAGGTGCTGACAGAGGGAAACTGGACTTGTGGTGGTGAATGCGACGTAATGTATACAGAAGTCAAATTATACTGATGTACACCTGAAATCGACATAATATTATAAATCAATGTTACCTCAATAAAAAGAAAAAAGAAAGTTCCAAGCAGGGAGAATGAAATGCTCAGCCCAAGTGAATAAATAATGGAGGGATTACAGGCCTGGGAGGAAGACCATCTGTGGGGAGGAGTCATCTTCAATCGTGAAATGTTGACCACTGTCTGCTCTGGCCATGGGAACTGTGGAGTCTAAATCCTGGCTCCATCGCTTGCTGGCAGTGTGGCCTCTTGTGTGACTTAACCCTCAGGGTTTCACTTGCCATGTCTATAAATGGGGGTGCTCAAGCCCCCTGGCAGGTCTGTTGGCAAGGGGGGTACATGCTGAGACCCACCCTTCGAGGCAGCACTCTCTCCACGCCTACCCCTGCACCCTCAGTCTCTGCCCTTTTCTGCAAAGTCTGCTTCCACCAAGCTCCCCACCCTCTGGTTCCAGTTGGGTTCAGCCAGTGGGAGGCACCTACAGGTGATCAGAGGACAGGAGGGAAGAAGAGTGAGGGTGTTTTATCCTTCAGCTCCTCTCTGCTGGGCCTCTAACAGCGGCTGAATTCCACCTAAGGCCCAGAGCCTGGAGGGTGGCCTGTCCTACAGCCACGCCTCTCTCCAGGTTCTGGGCACTGCTCCCTCCTCTTGGCCCTGCCAGCCTAGGTGGGAACAGCTTTCCTGTGGGGCCAACCCTGGTCCTTCCCTAGCCTTCTTGGTTCCCCTCTCCCTGCATGCACCTTTGTGAATAGTCCCTTCATTCGATCACCCCTTTTGAGACCACCAACTGTTTCCTCCCAGGACAATGACCCTTACCTTCCCCATTTCACAGAGCAGGCGGCTCAGATCTGCAGAGGTTTAACTGAGCCAGGAAGGTGTGTAGGAGTACAGGTGGCCCATTTGCTGTCTCTGCCTGTGCCTGGGCACGGCCAGAGCTTGTATGGCTGAGTGCTGCACCTGCTGCCCAGGTAAGGCTGAAAACTTTCAGTGAGAAAGAGGTTCCCTGGGAGCCTGACTGGGGAGGTGTTTCCCTGTGGCCTTTGTAACTGAAAGGACAGGCAGGGGAGGCAGGATGATCTTCTTGAGACTGAGACTCAGAGTAAAAGTGAGAGTGGCCCCAGGAAGGAGGCTGAAAGAAACACAACTACCTAACCTCAGGAAGCAAAGGCTTGCAGGAGACATTCCCAAATAATCTTTAAAAACATCATAAGTTATGGTCTGGGCAGTGGTGGCAGAGGGCTTCACAAACCAAGGCAAAGTGGAAGGAATTCAAGTTGCACCAGCAGGAGGATAACAGGATAGACATCAGAGAGGAAATCAGGGGCCAGCCCAATGGCCGAATGGTTAAATTTGTGCTCTCCGCTTTGGTGGCCCAGAGTTTGCCAGTTCAGATCCTGAGCGTGGACCTAGCATCACTCATCAAGTCATGCTGAGGCAGCATCCCACATAGAAGAACCAGAAGAACCTACAACTAGGATCTACAACTATATGCTTGGGGGGCTTTGCGGAGAAAAAGAAAAAAAAAGGAAAAGAGGAAGATTGGCAACAGATGTTAGCTCAGGGCCAATCTTCCTTACCAAAAAAAAAAAAAGAAGAAGAAGAAGAAGAAAAGAAAGAAAGACAGAAAGCAAAGAAATCATTTCTGCAAAGATGAGGAGGTCCAAGAACATAACTCTCCAAGGAGGCCCCTCAGGAGATTTTAAAGCAGTTTGGAAAAGAAGTCTCTGGAATGGGCTGAAGCCTCCAGGAAGTTCTGACTCTGGCTTTCAGGTTGGCTTGAGGCTAAGTATGGACCATCACCATCTCCACACCCACCACTTATAGAGCACCAGAAAAATAGGCAAAGCTCTTAATATACGCATCTCAGGAAATCTTATGAAGGCGGCACCCTTGACGCATTTCACAGATGGGGAGACAGATGAAAAGTTAACTTGCCTGAGCCGGGATTCTGATCTACTTGGACAACTCCAAAGTCTGTGCTCTTAACCCTGAACTGTCCCGCCTCTGAGCTCTAAGTGGCTGTTAAGGACACAGGCAGCCCTGTGCCAGACCTCAAAGCCCTTCTATATTCTGTGTTCTGTCTCATGCCAGTGGAGAATTCAGGGCCCTTGTCTGAGAGCCATGGCAACTGATGCCCATGGGGACTGAGCAGGGGTGGGTGGATGGGGCACAGACATTTGCGGCAGGGCAGAGGCTGGGACTGTGCTCCTGAGGCCTGCATTCCAGGCCCAAGGCTGCAGGCATGACAAATGCTCTGACATCAACTCAGAGAACAAAAAGTCGGCATCCTGGGCACTGCTGTTGGAAGCAGGGCTGACTAAATTTGTCTCGAGAAGGAATGTGAAGGGAACAGGGAGAAAAACCAAAGCAGACTTGGTTTTTCTCCAGCACCTGCCTTCCAAGAGGCAATAAGCATGATACGCTCATTATCTCACCACCCACCCACCCTCGGAGGAGGGTTGGTAGGGACTGGTTCTCTTCCTGGGTAGGAGCGAGGAGGAACAGTGCTCCAGGAGGGAGGACCCAGGCTGCACACAGGGGAAGGACCCAGGAGTCCTGACCTCTGCACTTCTCTAGTATGGCCAGTGGGAGGTCACAGAATCTGGCCCAACCCTGTGGCCCCAGGATCTTGGCTCTCTTCTCTTCTGGCACATGGCTGGACCATATTTCCCAGCTCCACTTGCATTTAGCTGGGGCCCCATGACTAGTTCTTGCCAGTGGAACGTGAATGGAAACGAGGTCTGTTACCTGCGGGCCAAGGTGTGTGACAGGCGTACCTTCTTCATCCTTCCTTTCCTCCTGGCCAGCTGCTCAGGAGCCAGGGGAGATCTCAGGCCCTAGGGGAGACTGTGTCAACCGGTGGCAGGAACCCAGATCCCCGTGTGACTGTGTGGAGCACCCCACCTCCACTGACCCACAGTGCACTGGGCCATGTCATGTGAAGCCACTGAGACGAGGGGGTTGTTTGTGACGGCAGGTAGCAATATTCACCCCAACTGTTACAAACTCCTGTAATTTTATAGCTGAGAAGACTGAGGCTCCCAGAGGAGAAGTTCTTTGTCAAAGGACAAAGAATGAGTTAAAATTGGGGAGTTGGTTAGACAGAGAGAGGGCAAATTCCAGTGATGATTCCACTCCTAGGAATAAACTCTCTAAGAAAGTCCTGGGAGATCTGGGGGTGGTTCAACCACTGTCTTGAACTAGCTTTTTGACCCTGGACAAATCACTCAACCTCTCTGAGCTTTTTACCTCAACTGAGAAGTGAGAGTAGAGAGCTGCAGGAGGATGAGATGAGACAATGTTCATATATAGTAAGTGCTGAAAGCATGTTCCCTTTCATTCTTATCCTCAGCTCAAGATAAAATGAACTAATAATATCTACATTTACCTTAACCATTACACTCTCCTGCCTCCTGGAGATAATAATATCAGCAACAATAACAGTCGTCAACATATACTGAGTTCTTACTATGTGCCCAGCACTGTGCTAAATGCTATAC